GCGTAGCCATACATATGCGTTATAGCTTCTCATATTCATATATATTTTCTTCCATAAGCGTCCGTCGCGGCATAGCCAACGGTACGCAACTCGGTGACCCGAGTAAGAATTTGCCAAATATAATATTATGAAATCCCTCCTCAACTGTCTCAAAGATAAACAAATTTATCTGATGAGTACTCTGGGCGGACTGAGACGCCGACCCCAGCAAAACGCATCCTTACAGTATGATTCACAGTGTCAAATGCTTTACTAAAGTCAAGAAGTGTCAGGAAAGTTATGTCATTCTTATGTGTTTCGTCTAATGTCTTCAATAATTTTGACTAAAGTTGTTGTGCAGTTTCTATTTTGTCGAAAATCAGATTGCTTGCTATTTTTTTTTTTTTTTTTTTGTATTCCAATTATTTTTATTCCATCTTACAATACTAATCAACTATAATACACTTAAAGTTACAACTAGGACAAGACGGAACAGGTACTTGGGAATAGAAGCTCACGCCGTGCGGTACCGCCGCCAGGCATTGCTTCGCGGGCGTGGAGGCCCCTACTCCGGCCGCTCCTTCCGCCTTCGCTCCATCGCTCTGAGGGTCTTCATGGCGTGTGCGGCAAATGTTTCTGCCGCTTCCCAAACTTTTGGGTCTTCCAGCATCCTCGGCACCAAGGTTTCGGCGCTAATCGAGGATCCCGCTGCTTCCTCCAGTTCCTGTCTCTCGAGGCCGAACCTGCGGCACTCGAAGAGAACGTGGTGCGCATCCTCCACTATGCCGGAGCCGCACTCCGGGCACCAGTCTTCCGCCTCGTGGCCAAAGCGCTTCAGGTACTGGCGGAAGCATCCGTGGCCACTAAGCACCTGGCTGAGGTAAAAACTCACCTGGCCATGCGCCCTATCAACCCATCGCGCTAGGTCTGGGATGAGCCTGTACGTCCACCGGCCTTTCGGAGAAGAGTCCCATCGAGCTTGCCAGTTCTCCATGCTCCTTCTTCTAGCGGTATGCTTCACCTCAGCGTAGGACTGTGGTAATCGCCTGTCCTGTAGGGATTCGGAGATCTCCTTCCTCTCCCTAATGAGCTCCGTCAGTGGGACTTGCCCTGCGATCACTAGTGCCGCGTCCTCCGAAATTGTCCGGAACGAGCATGCGATCCGGATGGCACATAGCCGGTAAGTCGCCTCCACTCCTCGCATGTAGCTTTTGACCGAAATAGCTTCAGCCCAAACTGGTGCCGCATACAGGATCTGCGCGGTCACCACCGATGAGAGGAGTTTCCTCGTGTACTGCCTTGGACCTCTAGTGTTCGGCAGCATCCTGGAGAGCGCTCCAGCCGTGCCGCTAGCCTTTTGGTGGACGTACTCCAGGTGCTCCTTGAAGGACAGCCGGGTGTCGATGATAACGCCCAGGTACTTGATCGCCCTCTGCGACCGGATCCTCGTCCCTCCAACCAGCACGCTAGCAGTCTCCACCGCCTTCCGACTCGAGATTAGGACCGCTTCCGTCTTGTGGGCCGCCAACTCCAGACCTGCAACCGCCAGCCACGACTCTACGGCTTGGATGGCCGTGTCCGCGCGCGCCTCCACAGATGCTAGCTCCTTTGCTACCACCACTATAGCGACGTCGTCCGCAAATCCAACCAGGTTGGTGCTGACTGGCATCGGAAGCCTCAGCACGCCGTCGTACATTGCGTTCCAAAGGAGAGGACCCAGGACAGAGCCCTGCGGGACTCCGGCTGAGACGTTGTGCTCTTTGGGACCCATGCTCGTGTCCAACAAGAGTACCCTGTTGCTGAAGTAGCTGTGAGCTACGTTCAGCAAGTACCCAGGGACGTTAAAGTTCCTCAGGGACTCTAGCGTACGGCTCCAGTCTGCCGAGTTAAAGGCATTCCTGATGTCCAGGGTGACCACCAGGCAGTAGGACTTGCTTCCTCCTTTCCACCTGGTTCCGGCAATGGCATCCTGCGCCAATTTGACTACCTTTGCAATGGCGTCCAGCGTAGACTTCCCCTTCGTGAAGCCATATTGCTCCGGGGAGAGTCCACCAGCGGCTTCGATAGCTTGGCTCAGCCGGGTTGAGATCACCCTTTCGAACACCTTGCCGATCGAGTCCAGCAGGCAGATCGGTCTGTAGGACGATGCTTCTCCTGGTGGCTTGCCTGGCTTGGGCAGCAGAAGCAGACGTTGCCTTTTCCATCTGTCGGGGAACGTCCCCTCCAGAAGGCACTTGTTGAACAGGCCGGCAACTTCGGACGTCAGCAGCGATAGAGTCAACTTGGTTGCTCTACTCGGAATCGCGTCTGGCCCCGGAGCCTTCTTGGGCTTCAGGCTTCTACCGGCAAGGAGAACCTCAGCTTCCGTGACCCAACGGATGTCGCCCAACTCGGTGCTGGGGCAGATCAAGACCTGCCGACCGCTCGGGAACAGGGAGCCAACTATCCTCTCCAGCGTCGCCGGGTCGGTTGGGGCACAGCCACCCGCATTAAGCCTCTTTACTACCGTTCTGTAGGCTCCTCCCCATGGATCCTCCTCGGCGGCGTCGCACAGCTTGAGGAAGCATTCTCGTTTGCTGTTCTTAATGGCAGTCTTAAGCTCCTTTCTTGCTGCCTTGTAGCGGTCGCTGCACGCAAGAAGGCGCGGGGTGCCTCTAGCTCGCTGCATCAATCTTCTGCTGCGGTGGCATTTACGGCGCAGGTCCGCGATCTCCTCGCTCCACCAAAACACCGGGGAGTGGTGCTTTCTGAACGGCCTTCTCAGTAGCATGCTTTGCCTGCAAGCGCCGTCCACGGCCCATGCCAGCTTGTCGGCCGTCTCGTTGGCTCCGTCTGCTTCGCCTGCCGTGAAGCCCTCGAGGGCATATGCAAAATCCCGCGGCCTGAAGGTGTCTTGCCGGAACGCCTTCCTATCCGGGAGTAGGGACCCACTCGTGCGATGCGCGGCGCCTATCGAGCACTCGATAGCCTCGTGGTCGCTGGCGGTATAGGCCTCGCTGATCTTCCATCGGGCGCGGCTGGCCAGCGCACTGCTGACATAGGTAAGGTCGATTACCGAGCCCACCCCGGCCCTGCTGAAGGTCTGCCGGGAGCCTTCGTTCAGAAGGACTACGTCCAGAGAGGCGAAGGTCTCCAGCACCGCTCGGCCTCTGGCGTTGGTCCGGGAGGATCCCCATTCCATGGCCCAGGCGTTGAAGTCGCCGCCGACCACGACGTTGATCCGCCCACGCAGATCGCTGCTCAGCTCGTCCAGAATCCTGCCGAACGCCTCCAATGAGAGACTGGGTGCCAGATAGCAGCTGTACAGCCAAGTGCCGCCGACGTTCGCCCGGACAAAGCCTTCCGCTGCTTTGGTGTCGCACATCTCCGGAGCATCCGCTCCGCAGAGCCACAAGGCCGCCTTGCCAGAGCGGTCAGTGGCCCAGACGCGGCTGGTACCGACCCTGTAGGGTTCGCTCAGGACTGCCACCTCCGAGCCCAGCTCCCGCACCATCTGCGACAGGAGATCCTGCGCAGCCCTGCAGTGATTCAGATTGAGTTGAATCAACTGCATGCAGGCTTGGGATTCGCATACCCACTGTTCGAGGCTGGACATCCCCTGGCGCCTGCCTTGTGCCTCGTCTCCTTCCTTCCGGCCGCAGAGCATATGAAGCAAGACGGCTCCTTGTTGCACGAAGCCGCCTTGTGTCCCGGCTCGCCGCAGTTAATGCAGCAACCGCTCCTGTCCACAGGGCCCTTGCAGTGGATCGCAATATGCCCAGGTTCTAGGCATCTGAAGCACCTCACGGGACCACTTCGTTCCCGGATCCTGCAGATGGTCCATCCAATCCGAACTTCACCTCTATGGAGGACGGCTTTGGCAAGGGATACGGGAAGGCTGATTATCGCAGTTTGGGTTTCAGCAAAACTGCGGCGCATGCTCCGCACTTTCACCCTCTCCGCCTCGAAGTTAAACTGGCCCGCGAGTGCGGCGCAGACCTCCTGCTTCGTCGAGATCGGCTCGATATTGCGCACCTCCAAGACGAGGACTTTTGAGTCCTCTGTCGTTGCGCGCACCGACGCTGTACCTCCGAGTACCTTCTCGATGCTCTCCCTCATTGTCGTGGCGCTCTCGGCGCTACCTTTCGCCACCTCCAGGAGCAGGTTACCGTTGTTGGTTCGGCGAACCTTTGACACGCAGCGTCCCAGGTCCGACAGCTGCTTGTCCTCTCTCCTCGTAACCATTGCGAGCACCTCGCTGTAGGACTTGCCGCTCGCGTGGACAATGACAGCGTCCGGGCGAGTGCGGCGCGCTGTTCTCGGCTTCCTCGCCACGACCTCCCAGTCGTTTACGGGGATTGCCTGGCTCTCAGGCTTCCGAGCTGGCCTATGCTGCTCCGATGCATCAAGCACCGCCGCTGGCGGCTTCGCACGGGGCTTCTTGGGCGCCCTTGCGCTTTTCTGCTGCGCTGGGCGAGGGGGTGGCGGGGCCAGCACCGGTGCGGGTAATCCCGGCGCATCTGGCTGGCTTAGCCTTCTCCAAGGCTCGGTTTGGGCCGCGGCCTCCTTTTTCCAGGTGGTCACCGTTTGCTGCTCCTTGTCCGCGCTTTTGGTAATCTGGGCGCATTTCCGGCACAGGTTGTTTGCGACCCGGCTCTCCTGCCTGCCGCTGACTCCTGCCGCGGCCGCTCTGCTTGCCGCAAGGATGCTCGAGTGCAGGGTTTTCACCCTGGCAATCATTTCCCTCAGCGGCACGGTGATATGCCGCGTCGACTTATCCATCATTCTCGATGAGACCTCTTGTAATAGATTGCCCATCTCCTGCAGATCCTGCAGGCAGGCTGCCTTCTCTGAAGCCTTGCTCTTCTTCGCCGGCGTAGTTCTCGGTGAGCTAGTCGGGCTAGCCGGGTCCCTCAACCTCTTAGGGGGCGGCGTAGAGCCTGTGCTCTGCCTACCTTCTTGGGCCTCGTACATCGGTGGTGTACGGGAGAGCTTATTGCTCCTCCCGAACGCCGCCTCCTCCTCCTCATCCCTCGGTGCACATGGCGAGCTCGCTAGTGCAGACCTGCCCGCGCAGGGGTTTTCCTCCTCCATATCCGGCTAGTCAGTCCGCGCAGGGCTCCCACGCTGGCCAAGAATTTCCCCCTGGCTCTACGACGGGGGATATACCGCCCCAACTCGGTCCCCGAAGCCCGTTTGCTCGGGACACCGCCTAGGCGGGGAATCGGAAATTGGTCAGATCCGAGACCTTTTTCCGCCTGCCAGCTGCGCGACCTTGCACGGTTCCGGGTTGGCAATTAATAAAATTTATTAATTAATATGTCGATTTAAATTAAAAATTTAAAACGGCACAGGGCGGGAAAGCTTAACCGCAGGCACTTTCCAACACTAAAGTGTGCTGTTAGGCGCGGCTGTACAAGCTCCCGCGGAAGCGTTACACAACACTGGATCAGCTGCGATCAGCTGTGTTTGAGTGCCAAAAAGAAAACGCGGGGAAAGGCTTGTGGAAAGTGGAAAGCAGCGAGAGTGGAAGGCGTCTGCTGGGAAGAGAGGCTGGAGTTCCCCCCTCCCCCCTGTCCACCGGTTCCTGAGGCGGCCTGGGTTGCCAAAAAACTTTTGGGCGTCCGGGGCCTAGTGGAGCCGAAGCCAGGAACGATCCGGGTACGTACCTGTGTACCTGGGAGTCTCACACTACACTACACGCCTTTTTCAGGATACCTGACACGCTTAACCGGCTTAAAAGGATAATTTAGCGGAGCGCGGTGAAAAACACAACTTCCTCCGAGTAAGTGAGTCCGTGTGTGTCCTTGCTATTAGGTAATTTGTGTGTGTCCAAAAAATGTGTTGACCTGCTTCGCCATTAGTTGCTTAAACGACTTAGACAAAAAATGGGCGTAATGTGTCGCTAGACTTGGGGCTACAATATTATAGGACATTTTGGGCATATATCATCCAAGCTTTATTTTATTTTCAAAATAGCCTCTAGGACATCAGACTTATTTACATATACAAAATCATAGTTAGCCAAAATTTTACCTACCTGTAAAGTATTTATTATTAAGAGTTGTATTATATTTTTTTAATTTATAATACAAAATTATACATTTTCGGACCTTTTCATAAATACTAACTAACCGTATAAGCTTATCAACATCGGTTATTGACCGCCGACAAATAATTATAGATTACATTCAGGATATTCCTTATACAACTATATATAAGTCAACAGCTAAATTATATATAAATATATATATATATATTTTATTTTATATTCTCCTATAATCATTATATTTTTAAAATTACTGGGTTTTATTTAGCAATCCAAAATGTGGATTTATACGAACTCCGTAGATACACTGAGTTATCAGCCATTTAGCCGATATACAAGTATTCAGCAATATTATAACTGAAAATATTAAATAAGCAATTTGTATGGGAACAACAGTTGAGCTGCCGATATTTTAAGTCGTTCAGGCATTCAGCTGTATAAGGAATCTCCTGATTATATAAATATATATTGTTTAAGAACGGTTTAAGTTATTTATTAAATATTATTCTTTAAGAACATGAAATACATTTGTAAAAAATGACTTTCTATCAGGGAAGTCTACAATAAAGGTTTGTACAACTTCCATAAGGCTGTCATTTAACTCGCTTTGCTTATGCGAATGCTGTTTAACTGTCGTTTCTGATCTAGCAATTTTCTGTGGGGATTTCAAAATATTAAGCCTCCGATACGCCTTGGCCCGTGTTTGTTTTCGTATGATTTGCTCCAAATTAGCATGCTTAGCCAAAATACATTCTTCTATGCGCTCTTGTATATTAGCATCATCTTTAATTATATCATTGAGATCAGATTGAATTCTGCGCAACATGTAAATCATACGTTCAATTTTATTCACATCGTCTAATAAGCGTTTTTCCGATAAAAAATGTATTTCATTACGAATTAACTTTGCTCTATTATGAACTTCATCTAGACGTACTTGAGTTTGAGATGCATTTTTCAATTTTTTAGTTTGGATTTTAACATGTTCTTTAGTTGTCGCACTTACGAAAATTTGTTCTCGGTGCATAACACAATGCTCCAGATCTTGAACAAGTCTTTCTTGGGCGCGCTTAAGTTGACTATATCTTATATTCATACGATGAATTTCCGTTTTCATTACACCGAGTTCGCCGTCTAAAGATCGCTCAGACTTTGACCATTTAATGGTTTCTTCAAGTAATTTATATTTGGTTTCCCAAGATAATGTTTCTCTATGATTATCTATAACAAAATCTTTGTTAAGCTCTATTTCATTCATAAGTATGGTGATTGCTTCTTCCATCTTTAAAATCCCATGTTCAGAGTCCTTAAATAAGAGAAATTAATAGATTTCTGACAAATAAGTATTTTTATGTACACACCTTGAGTTGTTCACTGTACTCCGTCTGTTCATGTTCGAATTCAGTCTCTTCAAAGTCATGGTGAATTCTTTTTTTATAAATTTTATCATTTAGTAGTTCCAATTTTGAAGTAAATTTCTGAATATTTAATTTTAAGTCCTTTGTTTTGCTTTCTGAAAGTTCCAGTTCTTTATCAATTTTTAAAGACTTTTGCTTAATTATGGAGAGTTCTGAAAATAAAATAAATTATGGTTAATAGTGTTTTTTTACTGGATAGTGAGAAGGATTTAAATGTTCGCTGTTTAAATTATCAGCAGCTGAACTTTTTTGAGAAAGCATGAAAATTGCGTGAAAATTAAAAACAATATTATAATGTCTTCCCACACAGCGCATTTGTGAGGAACGTTTGGGATTTAAAAAAAAAAAGGGAAACTCGTGTTCCCACACACCGTCAAAGCGCATTCACCATCCGAACAGCTGATCGATCAGCTGTGGCTCATGAAAACGTAAACAAAGACTGTCGAATTGGCAGTTGCAATTTGAAATGGAGCATTTACCAACTATTTTGGCTGTTGTACAACAGCAAAAGGCACAGATTGCGTCAGAATTTATCCGCACTAAATTTAAATGAACTAAATGACAAGGAATTTTAGTTTTTCTAATGATTTTTCTCTAACAAAGAGCAAATTCCCCGAAGAGTGTCTATAGGTGGTATAGGCATCCAAAATATTTAAAATAAGGTAGAGGCAGGCGGTTTATATTAAATAGTAACAATTGGGGACATATTGGGTCAAGAATATACAGCAAAAACGCCTACAACTATTTTGGGCATGCTTGTAGCTTTGGCGCCACATTTTAAATTCCATATCTCATTTGTTTCTCGCCAAGTGTGTATACACTTTCGTAGTGATGGTAAAATTTTCAGAGTTGCACCAAAAAACTATCGCCAACTATCGCCAAACAAACCCTGTTTAGATTTTAATGCGTTCTAACGGCGGTCCATTTGGAAAAATTCGGAACGGCAAAACCTTATGGACCGTTTGTTCAACGGACGGTGAATGCGCTTTGACGGTGTGTGGGAAGATCCTATAACACAAAAATTTTCCCCTCCTCGCTGAGAACATATCAGAAACAATAACACGAAAAACCATAATTATATAAATATTATATAAATTATATCTAGATTAATAATATAAAATAAAATAAATTAATAATATAAAAAAATTTAAAATGACATAATATTTGTCTTTAAAAAATGTAGTTATAAAAATTTCGCAAGAATTATTAAACATTTAATTCGTTCTTCTCGATAATTTATTTCAAAAAAATTTGAGTCAAAATTAACGAGTGCTAACTAAGAGCCTATTTACACTAGGCTGCGTTATTGCGTTATTACGTTAACTCAGTAAACGTAGTTTTTTTACTAGCAGTTTTTAGTTTTGTTTTTTTTTTTTTTTTTTTTATTAGGCTTTGCTTTTATTTATTGAATCTTCTCATTTATGAGACTAACAATAAGTGTATCAAATCTTACAATACTACCTAACTAGCAGTCATGAGACTGGTACAGAGTAAATGGCCCTGACTAATTATGGCTGGGTTGGATAGTCGTTACGTAGTAGGCGGCTTCTTCTGGAAACTCGTATCAAGTCCCTTGCTAGAGGATTTGGATGGGCGGAGAGTTTTTCCTTGTAGGACGCTTTTTGTTTTTCTATTTCGTTCTTAACTGCAGGAATGCCGAGATCCCTGTTAATATGTTCATTGCGAATATACCATGGTGCCCCAGTGATAGTTCTCAGGATTTTTGATTGGGCGCGCTGTATGATGTCTAGATTGGTACTGCACGCGTTCCCCCAGAGCTGGGAGCCATACGTCCATATTGGCTTCAGTGTGGAGTTGTAGAGCAGGACCTTGTAGTCCAGACACAGGGGCGATCGGGAGTTTATGAGCCAGTGGAGGCTGCTGGCTTTTAGTTTTAGATGAATTTTCTTGCATTCAATGTGTCTTCGCCATGTTAGGCGTCTGTCCAAGTGGACGCCCAGGTACGTTACCACGTTGACTTCGGTGATCTGCGTGCTGTTCAGGTAGAGCGGAGGGCATGTTTGTCTGTTGAGAGTGAACGTCACTTACACTTTTGTTCATTTATTTTAATACGCCAATCAGATAGCCACTTCTCGACTACCTTGAGGTGGTTGGCGAGCTGGGTTGTTGCCCGGACTGGACATCTGGAACGGCTGAGGATCGCAGTGTCGTCAGCGAAAGTGGATAGTGTTAGGTGGTCGCTTGTGGGGATATCCGCTGTGTATAGGACAAATAGGGTAGGCCCAAGTGCGCTTCCTTGTGGAACTCCAGCTTCGATTGAATAGGTGCCGGATGTTGTTGCGTTGCACCTCACTGCGAAGACTCTGTTGTAGAGATACGACTCAAATAATTTGTGTGTGTATGCCGGCAAGAGTGTTTTGATTTTGTGCATGAGGCCATTGAGCCAGACGCGGTCGAATGCTTGAGAGACGTCTAGAAATATTGCGCTGCAATATTCTCGATGTTCGAAGGCTGTGCGAATTTCTGATGTTATTCTGTTAACTTGCTCTATAGTTCCATGCTTTTCTCTGAAGCCAAATTGATGAGCTGGGATGATGTTGTGAGCTCCCAGATAAGGAATTATGCGCTTTAGTAGGCATTTTTCAAATAACTTGGACAAGCATGATAGTAGACTTATTGGTCGGTAAGATGATGGAATCGTGTGGTCTTTTCCGGGCTTCGGTATCATTATAATTATAGATTTTTTCCATTTAGTTGGGTAATGGCCGAAACTTATGATCCCATTGAAGATTTTACAGATGACCTCAATAGCACAATTATGATTTTTTGAGTTATTAGGTCATCGCCGGGAGCCTTTTTCGGCTTCAGTTCCCTGATGACCTTCGTGATCTCGTTCGGACGAAATGATGCTGGAGTAGATTCCGTTTCAGTTTGGTTTTGCGGTAGTTCAAATGGTAGTTCAAATGGATGTGCAGCAGGGTTCGGCTGGAAAACGCCCTGGAGATGTGAGGCAAAAGTTTCGGCTCTGTCTTTGTCGCTGCGGGCCCAATAACCAGATGATTTTCTAATCGGGGTAATGGTTTTAGTTGGAGAGCTTAAGTTTGGGTGAGCTCTCCATAAGGGATGCTTTGTGCTGGTTGGCGAGAGTTTCTCAATTATCTTAATTGTGCATTTTCGGCATCTTGCTTCAGGGCCCGGCATAGTTTGCGTGTGGCTTCATTAAGACGTTGCTTTGAGCATGGCGATCTATTGTTTTGCCACGCCCGTCGCAGACGCCTCTTTTCTGGGATAAGCTGTTCAATCTGCTGGTTTGTTTTGAATTTGATTTTTTGCACATCCTTCTGTTGTGGTGTTGAGATCCTGGCTGCAGTCACAAGTACCTCTTCCAGAGCGGAGGTGGAGGAGTCGATGTCTGCTTCAGTATTGAGCTGGGGGGGCTAGCTGTATGTGGGAACTCACATACTTTTTGTATTTCATCCAATTTGTTCTGTGCGACGTCAGCCTGTGAGGGCGATCCGTAGTTTCTGGGCTTTGAAGGAGGGTTATCAACAGCGGCGAGTGATCTGAAGAAAGGTCCGGAAGGGCCTTGGCGTTTATTAGATTGCGTGGGATGTTTTTTGTCACCGCAAAGTCAATTAGATCAGCTATCTTTCTGGGGTCTGCTGGCCAATAGGTGGGGCTACCAGGGGAAACGTAGTTCAGTTTATTTCCCACATTGATGAGAGCGTTATACAGTTGTCTTCCCTTGGGGGTCACGAGGCGGGATCCCCAATGCGTGTGCTTTGCGTTGTAATCTCCTGCAGCTATGAAACGATCTCCAAGAGAGTTGTAAAAGTCCATGAATTGGCCTTCAGAGATTGTAAAGCGAGGTGGGCAGTAGACAGCAGCAATGCAAAGGTTGCCGTTTCCTGACTGCACTTTAATGGACGTAGCTTGCAAGTAATTTGTAGCAAACCTTTGGTGGAAGTGGTGTTTGATGCGTTCTCTGATAAGGATGACGGTCCCGCCGTGGGCTTTACCATCTGGATGATCTGTGCGGTGGAAGGTATAACCTCTTATATGGAAGTTGTATCTGCTTGTGAGGTGCGTTTCAACCAGTAGCATGGCGTCGATGTGGTTTTCATTTAGGAATTGTGTTAGTTCAAGTTTATGCCGTGAGACGCCGCACAGTAGCGCCTTTTCTCATTTTACGTTGCAAAAATCATAACTTTTGAACAAAACATGATTACTAAATAATTTAAATGCCATTTGACAGGTAATTGTTGTAAAATTAACATATGTATTGGAAAATCTGCCACGCCCACTAATTCGCCTTTTTTAAAGGGTATCAAAGTGAAGAAATATTTTTTTCTCAATGAAGACAATTTTTTAAAAATATTTTTTATTTAATTTTTTATCTTTATTTTAATATATTTGCTTAAATAAAAATAATTTGAAAACTGAAAAAAAAAAAAAATTTTTTTTTGTTCTATGTTTAACCGCCACAGAACCGTGAGCGCTACAGTTAGTATTTTTTGTTGGTTTGTATGAAATTGTGTCGGTATTTTGGTATATTTTACCCTGAGTTGTTTCAGTGTTTTGCTTCGCAATGCCAGAGTCGCAGCTGGACGCAGACTTTCTAAACGGATTCTGATTCAGGAAAGATACACGCAGTGCGTAGTCATAGTGTAGTCGCCGGCTCTGGGCAGCTTCAGAAGTTATAGACTACTTTAGCCAGAAAAAGGTGAAAATAATGGACACCTGGCAGGTAGCGATTTACCTGTACAAGCCCACACAAAACTACCTTTTTTTTAATATGAATAAGAGGTAATGAATATACCTATCATTTAAAAAAAAATTCAAGACCATTGGTTATGTAGTTTTTGTGTAATATTACCTGAAAGTCGACTAATTTACCTATTTTTTGTTGTATGACGCATACACGGAAAACAATTTCGACTTTGAATGCTCATATCTTCCTCAAAAAAATTCTGAAAATTTTTTTGGTTACAGATTCGGAATCCTTGGGAAATTCTCTGTCGATTTCTTATAGTTCAAATCGATTTTGCGATTATGACTTTTTCGATTTTTGCAACGGCTTTTGTTCGAGAGGCGCTACTGTGCGCCGTTGGCATTCCACGTGGATATACGTAGATTAGACATTGATTATTTCGACTGTTGTGCTACGAGCAACTGTATCACCATATTCTGA